CTCTTATTTTTGTCTATAACCGCTTAAGCAATTTGGGCCGAGTTCAACCAAGCACGCCAGTCGTTTCTCTTCTGTGTTTTCTGTATCACTTTCACTAAATAACTCACCATCATCACTTTGTTCATTGTTCTTGTTTAGAAAGTCTGCAATTTGTTCCGCAGTTAGTCGCGACATTTTTATTTTTCTTTTATGCAGCCTTTTCAAAAGTTTTACAATTGTCAATTGGCACATATTTCTGTTGAAAACATATATTGCCTTGTGCTCTTTGTCCACAAAAACTTTAGAAAACCGTAGTAGAAAGCGCAAAATTAAAAATAAAATTGGCTTAATAAATTTTACCTTAGCATTTCTTTATTTTTTTTTTTTTGTAGTTTCGAAAGTCCTTGAGTCAGGAAAGCACCAATCACAACAATAATATGTCTCCTCTTTGAGTTGAGCGACGGTAGTGGACCGCAGTGGTCAATGCGGAGGATGTCGAACGGCAGTGGGGTCATAGGGTTAATATACAGATTCCTTTCCCTTGCCTTAGGGGGCGTGGCATACATTAAGCACTTCAGACCATTCCTCAAAAATTTTCCTTCCTTCGCTCTCATGATGGACTCCATCTCACCGGGCACATATAGTACCGTCCTGCTATCCGACCAACATTCAAAGACCAAGCCATCCATCAAGTCAAAGTCTTTAACAAATCCAGTCTCCAGACGGTTTCGTATGGAACTAATAGTATCATCCCGCTCTTGAGCTGTTTGAATTTGGAACCCACTTTCTTCCATAGTAACTACTAGCGCGATGAGTGCTCTACTCTATGCGTCTTCATGGCCCATGGACGATACTTTCCTGTGTTGCATCTTGGGGAAAATGATGGCAAGAAGAGCCGAAAATACGAAAAAATCCGATGCAGGACTGCAACTGCTTTTGGTTAGTTAGTATTGGGAAGTTGCGAATACTTCTGTTGGAACCGTATGGTCGGATTCTTGACTCACTCGATATCCCAAACAATCCACTTCTTCATACCCAAACTTTNCTTAGTTAGTATTGGGAAGTTGCGAATACTTCTGTTGGAACCGTATGGTCGGATTCCCGCTTGACTCACTCGATATCCCAAACAATCCACTTCTTCATACCCAAACTTTGATTTATCCAAATTCAGTTTCAATCCTCGCCTTGACAGTCGCTCTAACACTAATTTTAATGAAGTCTTATGCTCCTCAAACCCATGTGTTGTATAATCTGGGGACCTGAATGTGTCGGGATAGCTGATTAGGATGTTAGTGTGACCGATTTTGGTGTCTTTCCATTTTGACATGGATTGGGTAGCACATTGGTGTTAAAACATTGATGATTTCTTGCCTTGAGTTGGCCATTTCGCTAAGCTAATTATAGATTCGCGATAATTGTGATTTTCGCTCCACACCTGAAGTTGTAAGTCTGTTTATTTTAATTTAATTCAAATAATCTTATAAGCTAAATAAAATATTAGAATATGCTGTGACATAAGGCCTCTAATGTATTCGCTACCGGGGTAGGTGGAGTTATCGGGTGATAAGACTCCCCTTTGTTGGCAGGTTTCCATGGTTTTATCAGTGGGACCACACTCCCTGACTGCTACACATCGGGAAGAATGAGGTTATTCTCATGACATGGTGAGGTAGCCTACTCCGACTGGACCCAATTTTTCAGCATCAGCATGCAATATCCGCTGCGGACGATTAGTTTGCACACTTTTGCCTTTCCGATGGCCACCTGGACATCACCGCTGGTGAAAACAACAGGCACTCTTGGTTTTGGCAGTGTACACAGCCTTCTGATCACTCCCCGCTTGGCTCTGTCCAACGTAGGATGCCGGCTAAAATAGCTCGCGCATCGCTCCGGTTGGGAAGAAGCGCGGTGGTTGGATGAAACTCTATATCGTTGCGTTTCCTCGGATAAGACCAAGGCGAATTCATATGATGTGGTGTTATTTCATCAGTTCTGAGTAGCGTTCAATCGTCAAAATTTTGTATTTCGTTTGTGAGTGAGTGAAAACGTGGGAGTGTTTGTATTTTCCGTCGCCCTTGTTCCTTTGGGGAAGAATAGCTGAAAGCAAAACCAAAATAGAAGTAATTATTGTATTTATTTAATCGATAGCACCTTATATAAATTCGCCTTGGGATGGACAGTTACCTTACGGTTGACCAAAGCTTGCTCACACCAGAGCTGAAATTGCAAGTATTTAGGTGCTCCTACCACTTTGCCGATTGTGTTGGTTTGTTGCCGAATTCCCGCATTTTAATCCCTGATACGGGGATTCCCAGGATATACCAGGCGATCGCGCTCGTTCTCTAAAACAGCCGCTTCGGCAGGGGAATTTTGGGCAGGTTTCCGCGATGTATCCAACAGGAATGAAACGGGCTGTATCAGCATAGACAACCTTGCGGAATTTGCACTGTGTGTTGCGTGATTAATGCTAAACCTCCACCCTTATCTCGGTCCCGATTGCATTGCTGTGCAGCTTCTGCTCTTGGATCTCAGCTATCAATATTCCATTCCGGCTCATGAAGACGGTTATCACCATGATTTCGCTTTGGAGTCCATTAAAGTATATTCTTATGCCTTGGGAGACTGCTCGAGATTCGGGGTGTAAGTATGTATGTGTAGTCGTGCCTACCGTGCATACAATAGAATTAGAGAAAGTTAAACTCGTTTTTCGGAAATGGTTTCCTTGACGCAAGGCCCTCAAAAATGTGTGTTTAATAGGTGGCATACACGGTGCGTCTGACTCGTGACTCATTTGTGTACGTGTTGACTCGCCTTTCGACTACACACAGTTGAGTCATTCAGAGTCATGTCGGTGTAACTAACACATATTTATTTTCTCAAACACATCCAAACCGACTCACGAGTTAGACGCATGGTGTATGCCGCCTATAAAATAGGGATGGGTAAATTCGGTATTCGAAGCTTCGATATTCGAATTTTAATTGAATTTTAGCTCCGAAATGGCGAATTTTTTAAATCGAACTTTGTGTTGCTAAAAATCGGATAAAATCGAATTTTTCTAAAAAAAATCGAATTTTATCTTTATTTCCAAAAAAATCAACTCTTCAGCTTTCTTCTTTCGGACTAAATTTGCCATCACTGTGTGTAGCACTCCATTTATCTTAGGGATGCAAGTAAAAAAATACATGTTTTTCGATCTGACGCATCAGGACAAAAAATGTGCGCCAAGAAGGAACTGTTATTCCGAACTCAAATTTAAAAAATTTTTCGTAAAAAACTATTTTTTTTGTTGATTTTTTATTTTAAATGTTTAGAGGCTTTTACGTTGGTGGCANTGCCAAGAAGGAACTGTTATTCCGAACTCAAATTTAAAAAATTTTTCGTAAAAAACTATTTTTTTTGTTGATTTTTTACTTTAAATGTTTAGAGGCTTTTACGTTGGTGGCATGAAGCTTTTGCCTGAGAAGACCCCTAGTCAAATTTTCCGGAGAATAATTTTCTAGAATATATCAATCCTCTAACGACCTTCCAAATTTTCTTTTTGCGGGATTTCTTGAAGTAGGGGTCGAAATTACCCTTTTAGACGGGAGCTAATGGGTTAAAATGTTCTACAAAAATATTTCCCATAACATTTTATTATATATGTCTTAAAATAAATGTCTGAGCGAAATCAAAGTTTAACTATTTTTGCGATTTTTTTGAAAACTACTTAGGCCGAGATATGAAAACTTTAGAAGGCCATGACATAAAAATACGTGCTAACTTTTGCAAATCCACCGAGTGTTTTATAACTGGATGGGTAAAATGCTAACAAAGTCCGGGCTGGTTTCGGCTGTCCCACAGTGTAGTTTGAGTTTAACTTTTTCGACAGGTGGCCACTCTCTTCAAGCACCTCAAAAATATTTCAATTATTGCATAGTATTTTAAGCACAGCACTTCTTTAACTAAATTCGACTTTTCAAATACGTGGCACCCCTCCTAAATGTTATTAAAAAATAAAGTTTATTCAAAACCATTTCGATTGATACCCATATTGGGGTAATTTATTTAACTTATTAAATAATTAGATTTTGATTTTCTTACAAATGGCACAAAACTAAAACCATATTCCACATCTGCAGGGCAAGCCCTTTCGTTTGACACCTACCTCCTTTTTGAAAATCGAACGAACGATACAGATTTTATGACTTGGTGTTAAATATTTACCGCAAACATCTCCGAACTCGATTAAGAAGTTTCAATTAAAACCAAATTTTGGAAAATTCGAAAAAATTCTAATTATGTTAATCAAATTTGCACCACCAAATTTCGAATCGATTAATCGAATGGTTGGGCAATGTTCGAAATTCGAAAAAAATCGAATTTCAACCCCCCACTACCCATCCCTACTATAAAAGTTTTAAAACATTCTCGCCTACTAGTTTCAGGTCAAAAAAGGGTCATTTTAAAGGGGAAGGTAATTTTTTAGCTTATAGCGAAAAATAATTTTTTTATTTGAGTTTAATATCAAGACTAGGGTTGCCAACATTTTCTTTATTTATTTATAGTACTTTTTCAAAAAAATTTGACAAAATATAGTACACTTCAAATATATATAGTATTTTATTTAAAAGAAAAAGTAAAAACGATTTTTAAGTGATTGAAAGAGTTCTTCCTGTGAATGCCGAAGTTGTTGGACTAGAGCGTAGAAATGAAATAATTTTAAGTTAATTTGTTAATTCTTTGTCAGTGTTTTTAAAAATATGTTACTTTTTTTATTATAAACTCACAATGACCTTTTACTTTAAAAATATTTGATTTAATATATTTATTTCAGTATAAAGGTCATCCATTTTAATACACATTTTTTTATTTAAATTTACTAAACGCTGTGGAAAGACACAACCTTCCGCTTAAGATTATCATTTATGACCGTTGTTAATCTAATCATTTCTAGCCAAATGTTTTGTTCACATACAACCATATGTATGTACATATTTTATTCAAGCTAAAAATTAAATTAAATTTATTTTAACCAACAGATGGACGTGTATTGGAACGACGCCCTTGGAGCGTGTCTCGCGTTTTAGAGATCTTCACAGGCCTGTGGTTCGTGATGATTACTTTGTAAGGAATTAAATTTTAATTACTTTGTTCTAATCTTCGTCTGGAAAATCATTGATTCTTTTTTAAATAGTTTCAGAGGACTTTTGGCGCCTTTCATGAAAGACAACAATAGGAGCAGTGCAGGCAATAGCCGAAGGAGCGGTTGGGGTGGCGGAAGCGGTGGGGGTGGGGGTGGAGGCGGAGGCGGAGGCGGAGGCGGTGGTGGCGGTGGGGGAGGTGGTAGTGGAGGTGGCGGTGGTGGATTCGGCCCAAACCGTCGCATTGGCCGCATCAATAACACTTCAATGGATATGCCTTGTGGAAGCTGCTGTGGATGAAAAGTTTTGGTATAACGTTTCAAATACTGCCAACCCTAAACCAGTACTGAAATCTCTAATATGAAATTTTATAGATATGTTGTTTTTTACAATTACTTGTGTAAAAATAATAATTTACAGCCGGTTTCACCAGAAATTTAAATAGAAAATGATTTTTAATTTTCTGTAACCTTCCACATAAAATTCAAAAAATTAAAGACATTTTTCACTTAAATTGCGTTCGTGAAATTGGCTGTTAATGTAGTTTTTCTTAAAAAAACATACCTAGCCCTAACCGCAAAAAAAATGTAAGCGTAAGGGCTCGATACATTTCGATTTAATGTATTTACATGCATACATGTTAAATAGCGTAAGCAAAATTTAATAAATCACAGCTCGAAAGAACTGCATAAAAATGTTTATATCTGTATGCATATCGAGGGTTTATATTCAATATGATCTACATATCTACAGTAAACTTTACAAAAAAGCGATTCCCATACAAAAATCCACCTTAGGCTTAAC